CCAAAAACAAATGTGTAGAACACTGTTCTCGGATTCATTAAGAGACGTTTCAGATTCTAATTCCGTACCACAGTCTGAAGCGCAAGAAATGAACTGCATACATTTTGAATCAGCCATAACTTTATGGTAAAAACAATTTTGACTATTTTTTACATCAGTAAAATTAACAATCATAGTAGACTACATCTAAAGTAGTACTGAAATAAAAATCTCCGAGTCATGCAAAGCCGTGAACAACGTGTGCTTTGAACAAAGTGAATGAATAATTGACTTCACAACTACCAGTCGTAACTCTAATACTGCCGTCATATAAACAATTTGTCTATATCAAAAAAAAATGTTCAAAATAGTGAAAGAACGCAATCATAAGCCTGAGAATAGTGCCCGTACGATCATGGTTAAACAAGCAAGTAGTTAAAAGCATTAAAATCTTAAGCAAATAAATGTAAGCACTTGTTAAAAACGCTAAAAGTATTAATAAGATACAATTGTCAGTAATATCCATATCAATCCGTTGCGTGTTTATTTATACCTAAATTGTAGATTTCTCTACAAAATGTAATGAATCCTTTCGAAGATATCTTCTTAAAATTATTACATCTTAAAATGACCGTATTTCCCCCCCCCCGAAAAAAAAAAGTTAAACATACGCACTTAACATGACGCTTTTAATGTGATCATTTCCACAGGAGATTAAAATTATCTGAAAAAGTTGGATGGTCGTCCTTGAGAACTTTCATTACATTACAGTTTTAATCAAGATAAATGATATCGTTTCTTTAGCATAACTCTTGCATATTTGCTTCATTATTCTGCGTATATGATGCTGAAAATGGAAACTGTTATTACTCTTCAATTAAAAATTTGCAAACAAAAACGGAAATCTAAAACTCTAAATTTCAGAAAATATTATAAGAGTGACTTATTCTTTTCAAAACATCAGAAACTTGAGGAAAACAAAAGAAACGTAAACTTTGAAATTGTAACAAATTTAATTAATTTATTCACTTTACTCAAATTTTGTACTTGAAATATAACCACTTAAGAATTAAAATAAAATTACTCATTGTATTATTATTAAGATAGTTTTTGATCATTTTTAAAAAATAGAAGTAAAATGAAAAAATGATTTTTTTCTGTAATTCTTGTAATTCACATTAAGAAATTAATTTTTATGGGAAAAATAGGAAAAAAGAATTAAAGGTGAAATAAACTTTAAAACATAGGTTATATTTTCATAGGTTAATATTTTTGGTTATTAATATACTTTGATATATACTTTGATATATGGCATATTCTGATACCTTTGATGATATATACTTTGATATATATTTTGATAAACATACTTTATTATTAACAAAAATACCTCAAATATAAGTGAGACTGGTAGTTCTGTCGTTTTCTATTTTTTAAGTTTTATTTATTGCGTAAATTATTAAACTGAAATTACAGGTGAAAACAATATAATATATATGTATCTATTCTGAAATATAATTTCAAAAAATTGTATATGTATTGCATCGTTGTATGTCTTCTTAATATCACCGAAAGAAAGAAGAAAGCATTTTTATTCAAATTATTTATTCAACAAAAACTTACAATGTACATACAGTTCAACAATGATACAGTAAAACATCAATAAACTTTAGTTTTCCACTTTGAAAAGCAATATAAATTTACACTTCCATTTCTGGAAAATCGAAAATCTATACTGTCTCCTTTCAATTTCACATAGTTATTTGGCACATTGGCTTATGAGCTCCAATTATCAACGACTAGAAAAGCTTGAAGGACTTGAGGCAAAAGTGCACGCTCTTACGCCCTTCAAATTATGGAATATATAAAGTAAAAAACACATTTTTACTCTTATGAAGTTAAAGTCATAAATGCTGTTATAGAGAAAAAACAAACTTTAACTTGCCTCCGTCTTTCTCTTCCACTCATCTGAATACGGATTAAGAATCATTTTCGAGAGGTTGTAAGCAAAAGTTCATAACTGTAGTATTTTTACTATGCTAAACAATACATTTGAAAATCGTAAAAAAAAATCTTTAGTTATTTGGGAAGAATGACTTTATTTTGATATTTCGCTCAGCACATTCTGATATTAGAAAGGTTTGTTTCTTCGTTATTATTGGATGAATCGAATATTTAATGGAAAAACTTTTTCTCTCATTACTCCACAAACATTATTATTTGTACAATTTAATATTTCGAGATTTCAGATGCATAATATACTAACCTCCTTCTAAAAAGCTTTTTGATAATTCCAGCTTTTAAAATCAGGTGAGGTTATTAATTCAATCAAATGTAAAAAACAACGTGCCACTAATGGTTAAAAAAGGGAAAGAAAAAACCTTAAATTTTAATGGCTAGAATTTATTACACTACAAGAGCTGAAGTATGTGATACATTAGAATTCTTAGTAACAGCTAGTTTGATTATTAGTTGTCTAAATTTGAAATAAATGTATCTGTTACAAAATACACAAGTTATACTATGCTCCTGAAAGATATACGGTCTCAGATTTCAAATCTACACTATTTAAATATTTTAAAAATAAAATATTTTATAAAATTATATTCATGAAACCTTTTGTCTTTTTCAGTCTAAAGAAAATAATTATTATCTGGTTAAAGTAAAGAAAAAGTCTTTAGTAAGAAATACTTTCTAAATTCAATTTAATTTTCAAATGCGTTTTTTAATGATTATGCTGATTGTAAGCCGTCTGGTATATATATTACGACAAAAATTTAACTAAATAAATTGTACGAAAGATTTACATCGTGGAAGTTCAAGTAACCTTTTAACTGTAAATTAAGAAAACAGTTAGCCCTGTATAAAGCTTGTGCCTTATTAATGATTTCTTTAACGAATGAAATTTTAAAAAAAATTATATAAATCTGCACTGCAATTCCTATTAATTTTCAGGCATTGATTCAAACAGACACACCAGGATAATTATATAACAGATTAAACATGACTAATTAAGGAGTACTGAATACACATTTCGTCTTTCTTGATGATATAAGTGAAAAAAATTAGAATAAATTTACAAAATACTTCACGGATATACTTACTTCCCATCTCAGAGAGTCAAGAATATACCCCAATGTGGATTCAGAGCCTCGAAACACTTAAATAATATTATATAGACATACAAAATGTACATTACTGTAAAAAATTAAAAACCATAGATTAAAAAGTCTCCTCTTTTATACAATAAAATTAAAAAATACAACACCCAAACATGTTAAAAGACTAATTGCGAGTTTTCTTTTTTTCAATTTTAGCCATTTTGGCTAAAAGTACTTAATATAAACTATCGTCGTTGGCAAAAAAATTAATAAAAATCTTTTTATCTAAATTATTACTTACATAAATTGTGTGGTAAAAACTCTAAAAACAGCATAAGTGTAGAAATATTAAAATATTATGGACGCTTAAAAGTTCACTAAAATTTCCTAATGGAACAAAGGTATGGCTAAACACGAAACGGGAAGCAAAGAGAAGTAAATGGTGCAAAACCTTTCAGCATTCTTACTACAATTTACTTAGACAACACTTTAGATTAAAAAAATACCGAGTTTTTTCCGCCGAGGATAATTTTACATAACATACTTTTAGCCAAATGGGAAGCATTGCTGCTTCTGAAAATTAGAAAAGTTTAAATTACACTTTTAGATATTTGGCTGTTGTACTTTTATTTTTATTGCACAAAAGATGTAATTTTTGAATCTACTGATTTTCACTTTTTACAATAATGTACATTTTGTAATATTCTTGAACTGTTATTTTTTAAAAATTTTCTCGATGGTTGGGTATACTCGTGACGAGAGATAAGGAATAAATACGTATTTAAAAAAAATAAAAATGTGATTTTAATCTAGTCTTGCTTTTTGCACTCAAATAACCAAAAAAAACCAAAAGTGTATTAAGAATTCCTATATTATTCTTGTTTAATATTTAAAATAATTCTTACCTGAGGAGTTTGTTTGAATTATGAAACTATTAAGATATAATATGCAGATTTAAGTAAATTAAAAAAATTACATACGTTAAAGAAATCTTTAATTAGTTCAAAATGCTTTATATAATTGCTTACAGTTTTCCTTATCTAAATTTCCAGTGAAAATGTTACTTGAGCTTTCCAGGACAGTATAATCTTTATGTCAAAAAATTTATTTGGTTAAATTAAATTTTCAATCTTAAGCAGCTAAGGTGCTAGATTTTCTTATACTTTGTTGGTCAATTGGTGCTATTTATTATTTAAAAAATTGTTGCTATTTAAATATATCTATATATAAATATATGTATATATAAGATTATTATAAGTAACAATGTTTTATTATTTGGTATTACTGATAGTAGGAAGTTCAAATAACTGTATAATATATTTTAAAAAATGCAAAAGAACTCAGCATAATTTTTTTTCTCATTTACATAAAAGAACTAAAATTTCTCTAGAAATCGTAACTGAAAGATTAAAAAGAGGTTTTATCAAACCATCGGCAATACTTTTCTTATTCGGAAAAGAATAATATTTTGAACATGATGAAATATGTTCCTCTGAAATTTCAATAAACTCAATTTTTTGAATATTTGTGAAGTTATTTTGTATATGTGTAGTGTTTTCCTTATTTTGCATGACAAATTTATTTAAAGTTTTCCTGTTCTAAACTTCTCAACTTCCCCTCACATTCTCTCTGCAGGATGTAAATTTAAAGTTAAGTGAGAGTATTTAACGTGTATTATCTCAGTTATTCAGAGCATGTTCGCTAGCCAAGAACGTTTCCTATATTTCGCGGTCGTAGTAAGCCGTTTGGCCTATCAGTTAGTATCACGCCGGTAGATTTTGTGATCCAACTATGGCGTAAATTGAAGTGCGTTCTTGCACTTTATTTTTCAGATTGATTGTATTGTCTCTCGTTAGTACCCCTACAGTGAGGTTTTCTGTAAGGAAGAAGTCCGTGCCTTTCGTTAATTACTTTAGTTAAAGGTTATTTTGCACCTTTCTCTGTGCTGATATTTAATTCACGCCTGTGCGAGAATTTGCCAGGTTCATTGTAGGATTTAATTTAGTTTATGTGGAAGAATAGAGACAGGTTTTACATATGGGCAACATAATATGTATATGGGCAACAACAAATCTATATGCAGTGTCTTCTAAGTAATGTAAAATAAAATAATTTATAAAATATTCAATTTCTTAACAGTGACTGAACTGAACGCGAAAGAAATCCATTTCTCGAAACCGCGAGAAATAGATATGGCCTTCCTTCAATTGGCCTTTACTTCAGAGATTGAAGTAAGTTCAGAAGGTCCGGAGAAGCAATGCAATGACGCCATTCAGAAAACGTGTGTGGGGCGGGGAACAGGAAGTCTTCATCAAAGACTGGGGTATGCAGAAGGGAAGGAAAAGATTGTATCGTTAAAGATCATTTCAACTATATCTAAGGTTATCAAGATTCTCCACTGTTAGGATCCAAGATCAATAGGCCATTGCGAAGATCTCAATTTGCTAGATTCAAACGACAGTCTGTTCCGCTTATCTTTTATAGGAGCTGAGAAGAGATTGCACGGTTGAAAAATAACATTCTGACAACGCTAAGCTTTGATTATTTGAGCATTACCGGCATCAGAAATGCTATAAATTATCTAAACAAATCAACATCGGTTTTACAATTTAGTATTTATTTGTATATAATATAAACATGCGATATCAAAAACGGAAACAGCACTTTCTCTACTTAATTTTAAAAAATAATCTTACGGTTTATTTATACTTTTTGCTGACTGTTTTCTTTTCTTTAATTTAATTTTGTTTGATATATGACAGTAGACTAAGGAATTTTTTTAATGTTAGAAAGTTATTACAGAAAATAATTAAACATTAATTCTATGACTACTCAAAAAATTTTAAAATCTTAGTTCCTGATTAACTACAAATGGATTAACCGAGTTACATCTTAAACAGACCCCGTCTTCCCGAAAAACTTTTAAGTTTGCTTACTACGGAAACACGGATACACACACTCTCACAACGGAAACACGGATACACACACTCTCACAACCCAAAAACATAAAACAAAAGTGTCTATGGAAAATAGAAAAGGGGAGTAAGAGCAGGAGTAAGAGGCTGTGTTCAAGGTTCTCCAACAAGAAATGTTCTTAAATGTTTTTTAAAACTTAGTTTCTTCATTTCTCGTGAGTTTTTCCTTCATTATTTACAAATTGTTCTTTTCGTTATTTATACTCATTTAATTTGAATAACTAAATTAATTTATTTCTCAAATTAAAATTCTTGATCACGCACTTGAATATTACTTGTGCTTTTAACACAAGTTATTCCTTTCCTCTGTGACTTTTAATTGCTTCTGGATAAATAAGGATTTTGAATTAACCACAGACGTCTTCGGTATTACCCCGGTTAATCAAGATTTATATTTAAATATTTATACAGTTATTTTACCTTTGGATCATCTATGCAAGAGAATTTATTTTAAATGCCTTTTTAAATCATACTTCTTTATTTACAACCTGAAAATATTTCATATGTTTTGCAATAACGTATATGTTTCCAAAAATAGGATTTGTTAAATCACATTATGGATCTATTACACCAAATTTACATTTTAAATTATTCAAATTTCTTTTATTAAGCTACTTTATAAGATAATGCACATGATCTAGAAAGAATTTTAGAATTAAGCGGTCATGTTTACAGTTGAAGAAGTTGATATTAAAATAAGCTATTTAGGTTATTAATGACGCTATGAAGAACCTTGTCTGATAAGATAATGATTGTATTTCTGAATGATTATATCCTACCCAAATGCTGATTTAAAACTTGTCTGGATTATTCTGATAAAGAGTGAAAGCAGTTTACTTTTCTACGGTATTCTTTGCCAGAAAATTTCATTTACTGCAGTTTCAAAGCAGTTAATAATTATTATACGAGGAGTTTAATTGAAAAGTGGTTCATTTACTTTTCTTCATTTCTTCCAAATTATTACCACATTTAAAAAGGAAATAAGTTACAAGCTTAAAAGTTATTTTCCAAATTTCTTAAAGGAACGCAATATTACAAAGAAAAGGTATGAAGTTATGCAGTGTATAACAGATTACCAATTAAGTTTTGAAACCTATTTACTTCACCTAATATAGTTTTATAAGACCGGAAAATCGGTTCTAATAAAATAATAGTTGGTGTATTTAATTATGGCAAAGCACACTAGGGCTATCTGCCTAAGGGGAGGGATGCCTTCGTGGAGGTCTTTCTAAGGGAAACTGGCTCGTATACACGTTACACATGGGGAAAACCACGAAAACACCCATGCAGCCAGCCCGTTCGCGGGATTCGAATCTCGGACCGAACTACCAGTGTTCAGCGACTTTACCGCTCGGCCGCTGGTGGGCTAATAAAATAATAGACGGGGATCACAAAATAGCATAAATTATTAAGTAAGATTTATATTTTAAGAAACTTAGATAATTACAAATATAATTTATCAGAATTTTGACTAGTAATCTAATTCTAAAGGCACATTAAAATGAAAATCATTTATTCAAATCTAAAAACGCTAGTAGTAACTTTCCACTTTTATTGCTTGAAAGTTAGCTGAAAACTCCTCGTTTAATAAAAAAATTAATTTAAAACTGCTAAATAAAGAGCTGCATGTTGTTCTTATGATATGGTCATTGTATTGTAAAGCACTGTGTCATCTATTAAAAAATATTTCTATATATAAAGCAACAGCAATAATAATAATAATAATAATAAAATAAAATGTTTTAAGTTTGGAAAATAGCTGTATAATAAAATCTGTATATAAGATCTCGCTTTATAATCAGATTAGAATATTTTTATAATTGAATGGTAACTGATCAGTTAATTAAGATCTCCTACTAGCTTTTAACTTCTTGAGCTTGTAAACTTTCTTGTATGAAACATTTAGTAGTACGTAGTATTAATTATAAAATGAAACATTGCTTTTTAATTAGTTACTGTGTTGTAAGAAATTACGAATAGCAGATTATGTTAAACAGAAAGTAAGATACTTGGTAATAATAGGTGTTAAAGAAAGAGATTTAAAAGCATCAATTTTTTTTTAAACTGTCATTCAAAATGAAAGTCATTCACAAAAGATTAAGATCCCTTAATGCATGATCTCATTAAAAATAAATTGAAAGTTAATAAGAAATAATATATGTAAGTACATTTTAAGAGTAATTTCGCCTTTTTGGGGGGAGGGGGATAAATTATTGTTCTTGATCTGAATGTCTTTCTGAAGGTATATAAATGTTACTTAATATTACTGAAACAAATAGAAGTTTTATGTTTAATTTATTAGACATTTTAATAATGATGCAAATTTTATATGGATACGATTTTAGATATTTGACTAACCTTATGATAGGGCGATTAATAGACTAAATAAATGTTTCCATGTAATAATTCTAGCAAACATATATATAATAATAATAATGAAAAAATAACATTATCTTTTTAACATATTTTTACTTCTTTCAGGTCTCTGTATTTATTTTACGTTGACTTAGATCTAATGATTATCAGAAAAAACAAAAACATTAATTCTGCAAGAAAAGAATTTTATTTATTTATCTTGGTAATCGGCATTAAATTTTTCAGATACTACTCCAAGCCACCAATAACTGAATACTTTATAGGTTTATGTAACTCAGGCATTAAATAAATGATATCAGGCAACATAACTCGTATAAATCGCAAGAAATGAGTTTTAACAAACATTTCTGTACAAGCATGTTGAAATAGCTTCATCTAGATATATAAATTAAACTCTTTGTGATCTTCTTTTTCGGATTATCATAAGTATAAAACACTGCAAATAAGTATGTAAGGTTTATGTTAACTAACCCATTTTCTTAACATTTTATCTATATTGTTATTTATACTTTTGCCAGCTCTTACCGGTCTGCAAATTAGGTTTGTATACAGGAACAAAGTTTTTGAAAGTTACTGAGAGCTTTATTTAACAGCGATGCTGACCACTGCAAAATTTCCTCTGCAAGCTCTGAAAATTACTTTAGACCGGCCTTTACCCTTTTTGTAACCGAGTTTGCTCGCGCAGTTAGAATGGTTTGAGGTAACATATGACAAGCGTTTGCTTTGTGAATTTAACCACGTTAAATTACTTTAAATTTTAATTTGCATTTCATTTTAGTTTAAATTCTGCAGACAGCGGTGATCCCATAAGCACAAGCTACGCACTTGCTAAAGCTTCAATAAAAAGATTGTTTAAATCATCTTCTGAGTTGGAGGTTCTTTAATAGACTAACTAATCAGTCTCACTAATGACTAAGCTTAATTAAATAAATCAGTGGATTTGCTACAGGTAATATCACAGATATAGAATATTGCATCTGTCATGATAGCAGGAACGATTAAAATAAAGATAGTAAAACAGATCATAACAATGCCTGGTTTCATCCGAATATGAAAAAATTTAAAAAAAATCTTTCTTATGTTAGAAATCAGTGACATGAGTCATGCTAGTAAGAGAGAGCGGTTAATTTATTATGCATCTGTCGAAAAAAAATAATATGGTATTTACATTTTTCTAAATTTAATAATAAGTAAATATTTGAAAATCTTCAATTGAATTCTTTAGTCACAAACTTTTAGACCTGTCGTATGTCAAGATTATATTTTAAAAGTACATCCTTTAAGTAACTGGTATAAATGTGAATGGACACTATCTTTGTATATATTTTAACAATAGACCACATTATATTAATTAAGTTACACTGCAGTATCAAAGTAGTCAAAGTTAAATAACATCATTCTTCAAAATCAGCTCATGTATCACACTTCTGTGAATTTCGGTCCAAGTAACCAAATCCATAATATACTTCTAAAAATATCCGTACCGCTTCACATCATTTAACTTCTAAACTCCTTAACACAGCAACAAAAATTCAAAACAATTTACTTTACCGATAACATTTTTATGCTGATGTACAAGCAGAAAGATTCAGTATTCCGTACGGAAATATATACACAATTATTATACGTTTCACATCATAAAATGAAGGCAAGTGAAATGCGATTCATTAATGGCATTCACCGATATATGTGCTTCAAGTAAACATTAATACGCCATAAATAGTTTCAGTCATTAACCTTGTATAACAATTAACATAACACAGCGGCATGTTTCAACTTCGTAAAATGGAATTGTAATTTTTCATACTTCTCACAAGTTCATTATCGATGATACTCGGTTTGGAGTCAGTCGGTCTCTTGGCAGAAATAATTTTCAGTGCTGCAAAAATAGTGGAAAATGCGCTGATTAATAAGTCTTGGTATTCATCTTTCTGAAACGTTAATGTAAAAATGAAACATAATGATAAACAAAGCAAAAAATTATTGTTTAATTTTTAAACCACAGTCCTAAAGCTAGTAATTTATACATCGGCATGAAGCATTAAACTCTCAGTTGTTCTTAAAGCTTTGGGAGCTACACTTTAATTTACAAATGAAAAACGCGCAAGCAATGTCATCATGCTTATAATTTTACTCTTGTGTTTAAAAAAATTACGAGAATTAATGCGTAGTTTTTCCGTATTTCTCAAAGAAATGAAAACAGAATCTGATAAAAGTTGGTATAGATACATACAGTAATTTATATCACAGAAACATGAGCACCCATGATCGTGAGCAATGCTCAGGAGAGCAAGAATGACCAAAATTGCTGTTAATGATCAACATATTTTGAGTTATTTTGCAGGGAATGCTCCATAAAAATAAGCGAACTGAAACAAATTCTGTACTGCCTGAAATATCAAGAAGCGTTACATCCGAGACCATCCGGTATTTTCTAATGTTTTACATCGGGAAAAAAAATTGCTTACCTCCAGGATCAGTTTATAAGTTGTATCTAACTTATCTTTTTTACGTTTCTAGCAGTAATTGTTGGTACATGATTATTCAACATTTTATACAAAAACAGCATATGTACAGATGGAAGTAAAATGTATACAAATGAAATGTTAAAACATGCAAAATTAAAAACCTTTAAAAAAAACGAAACGCATAAAGACCTTCAATTAAAATCCGAGGCAGTTCAGGAGGGCTCACTGTCTTAAAAGAATTGATTGAATGACATCATTAACACGCCAGTACTTATCAAGAGTAATTCGCGCTTAAGACGGACACTTTTCAATGCGTTCTGCATTCGTAACTTGGGTATCACATGCCGCGCAGTTAGGACTAGGAAGGAATCACAATTTGTACAATGCTGAAAAGTCACGTTTCGTCTTTACAGGGAAAGCTGCAAGCGTCCTTTTGGGAAACTAAGAAATTTATTGAGCCAGTGTCCTCAATACTCTTCCTTGATTTGTTCCACTTGTTTAGATTTATTTTACTCACTATGTAGTATTTTACAAATCTGTTTATAATCGGTAAGAATACTTTCTGTGACTGCACAGATTTCCGTTCCTCATTTTCTTAAAGTACCGCTGTCTTATTACCAAACAGACCATAATGCGAAGACAGCCATTGAATAATTGTGGCTATTTCTTAGTTTTAAGAATTCCATAATAGCATAAAATGTCTTTACATTGCATTGAGTCTTTATCCGAGTATGAAGAATTAGACTGAACTGCCGCGAGTCAAAAACACTCTATTATACGATTTTTAAAGGTTTCTGCTTTTGCAATTAAATGCTCAGCAGCCAATATAAACTTCTATTCTTCATTCTGGGAAGTGGTATTTCAGCGATCGGTTAACGGTTAAAGACGACGAATTAACGTAAACTTGATGGACACGTTATAAATTACCTAAAAATAGTTTTTAAATATTATCTTAGCCTTGTAACGAAAATAAAATTTTGCGTTTTAGATTAATAGAACTGGTAAATAAACATCGGATTCATTACATAACAATAAAAAAATATGCAATAACAGTGGCATGCAGCCTCATATACTGAAAAATATAGGAATAAAAGGTTTAAAAATTAAAGAGAAAATCCAGTTTAAATCTTTGATTCAATATAACTTTTCCTAAAGTTTTCAAAACCTTTACCGCATAAACATTTAATATTTCCGTTTTCATTTTGTTCAATACATGCAACTCCAGCTACTGGTTTCTTTTTTTATTACTTATGCTATTTCTTCATTTTAGGTAACGAGTTCCCTGAAAAATGAAAAGGCATACTTCTGCGCCTTGAAGAAGAAGGATCTGTGTCGATATCTCTCGAAATGCATAGAAATTTTCGAGCAAAACTTACAGTCTAGCCGCATATTTTGCTTCATTCAAAATTTCGTTACGTATGTAACGATTTCTTCAACGATTCGTTTAAATACGAGTTTCTTAAAATTAATTAAAATTTGCGCCAACAGATATGAAATTTAATATACTTTTATTTGATTTACGGTTTTTAAACTTACCAGATCAGAAACGTATGGCAAATCTTCACCTTTGTGAATATCTGTATGACTTTCTTTGACCACCTGATCGACTACAATCTGAAATATAAGAGCATTTTCAATTAAATGTAATAAGAAACAAATGCTCTGAGAAACAGAAGAAAATGCTTGAAGTCATCTGCTAATGCATTTTAGTGTAATAATAAATTATGATAAAGCCAAAGAGTAGAAGGAAAAATATTTTTTGTGATATAGTTGTACCTCAAACAGCTTTTTTTCCTTCTTTAAATATTCAAAATGATTTTCATAAAAAGCAGTTTCTTATAATGTCATTATTATTTTAAGTTTCTAAAACAATTTTAATCATGTGATATACTTCCGTTTTATTAAGAAAATTAATGAGAAAATATTAGGAAATGTCTGTTTAGTTACCTTGAAGCATTTCATCGTGATGATATTCATCTTTCAGTTTTGAATCTGGATTTTCTTTCCACAGAACGCTACTGGATGAAGCACCCACATCATCCATACACGATCCTTTACCAACTGAAAAACAGGATAGTTACGGTAATGAAAATGGCAAAGTTAATACAATAAATTTCAATAACTATAACAATTAAATTTACATTTCAGAGAAATCTAATCCATTGATTTAACTTTAGAAATCCTATTAGAGACTAATGCACCAAATTTTGAAATTCTGTCCTGCGACAAGCTGACCACTTGTCCAGGTGAGATGCACAAGGACCCCGGAGCCCACGGTCTAGAAAGCAGATATCAGGGTACTGCCGGCCATGGCTTTCTAAGCGCTGTTTTTGTCGCCGACTTTAGTTTTAGGTTCAGTCAAAAATGACCAACCAGTCTTTACACGAAATTTCTGGTAATGAACTTATGATAGTCATGATATTGTTTTTCAACGCAGGCTATGATTATGGTTTTTAACTCGGGATAACAAGCAAATTCAATTTTATGTCGAAATACTAAATAGCATTCCCCGCCTTACAACTTAATATACTGCAATTCTTTAGTGAGCTTTCGGATATATGATAGCAAATACTCCCGATTAACACCATAGAAAATTCGATCCGTAAACAGGCAATTCAGAAAAAGGAAGTTGGTCAAAATAATAAAATTTGTCAATTATCACTTGACGGATTTCCTGGAATCACTAGGAAATTTTGTCTTTAAAAGTCGTAGAAGCGATGTGTATTAAACGGCATTTTTGAGCTCCATAGAGAATAAAAATACCAAAGCAATTTTTTAAACGCTTCCATTCACAAGGTCGAGATTGTTTCCAGAAAATTCATTATGTTCTTTTAAGAAAAGTGTGAAAATTTATGAATGGCAGTAATGTTTAAGAAAAATTTAGGCAAGTAAAGTCAATTTTTTTAATATCCGGTACAGTCAAATTACATTTTTCTACCTCTCAGAATTGTGAAAACAATTGCAAATAAAAAAATGTTACTGTTTTTTTTATTTCTTTCAGAGCGACAGTAAAATCCTTACAAGCCTGGAAATGTATCGATTTTCATAAAACGCTAATGAGAATCGATCCATTGTGGAATATGGCCTACCTAGTCACAGCGTAGAAATTTCATTTTTTGAACTAAGCAAAATGTTTTCGGCATACATTGATGACAAAAATTTATTTGTAACCTTTGTACTGCATTGGAGAATTTGAAAGGTAAAAGAAAATAATAAATAAAAATAATACTTAGATTTTATGAATAGTGTCATTTTTTGCGAGAGAAAACTGCTGGCGAATCTGTTATATTGATTCTTGGAAACAATTTTAAGAAAAACTGTAAGTACTGAATTTTTTTTTGCTCAATTTATTAAAATGGAAAATTACTTGAGAAAATACGTGTATAGCAATAACGTTGCTGTTTAATTTTAAGACAGACAAGAATCAATGTCCATTTTTCTAATTCATTTGATTTCCCAAAAGAGTGATCTCTTTGCTTTTACAGGTTTGATATGAATGTATAACGATAAGCATTGATAAGCCTATAAATTTCAGATTTAAAATGTTTTAAGAAGAAACTATATCAACAACTAACATTGTAAGCATTATAACAGTTGCGTAAATGTTCACACAAGAGACTACTTAAAAGTTTAGTATGGATTTAAAATGCATTTTCAGGCACGGTAGCATAAACTGATATCTTTGGATTTTCTTAAGTGTCAGGTTATTTATATTCCTTGTGCACCGCAAAGTATAACACAAGGCTTACAGAAGTAAATAAAAAAATAATATAAACAAGACAGCACGAATTAAAATAAAATTTACAGATTCACAAATGGAACATAAGAAATAAATGTACAAAAGGAAGAGAATGCCATTTTATCTTGGACAAACACATGGAGTAGGGAAGGAAACTCAATGTTTAAAGAATTTAACTGGGAAATAAATTCTTTTCTTCCCCACGTAAGCTTAAAAGGATAGAAGACACATTTTTGACATTTTGCATTCCCCCGAAGCTACAAGAACTCATGTCCGTATGAAATAGCCCAAATATCCTTGAACTGAAATTATGGGTTTCGTAACTTCACAATTGCAGAAAAAAAAGTTTATTATTGAGACTGCGGAGAACAGAAGAGAAAGAAATGTGCAGTTGAGAACACATTTTAGCAGATAACTGAGTGCAGAGTGTTTAGGTAAGAGGGAGAAGAATATAAATTTATATTTAATAACTAAAGTTAACAGAAGTAATACTAATGGTGCTTAAAAATTCTTATGCCGAAACAAACTCTGAAATCTTCCCTGTTTTGATTTCTTCTAATGGAAAATTTATTTAAAGATATACGCTGTTTGAAGTTAATTAAATTATTTAATGATGAACTTTATATGATTTTTATCTGAAGATAGATAAAATCATATAAAGTTTAAATATAGATTCATTTTTTTATAATTTTCTTTGAGAAACAGTATAAGTAATCAATAAAAACGTTTAAAATTGTTATAAGCATATTAAAAAATGAACTAAAGAATTTATTTGCATTAAATTTTGCTCATAAAATTAGTTGCTTCTGTACACACTTATATAAGCAAAAGCGTCAACTACTTACGATAATTTGTACATTATACACATGATTGTTTAGAATTGGAAAGAGCATTTTACAGTGTATAGTTGATAGTATGTTTGATGCCTAAACGAAATCAATTCTACAGATTGTTGACTTAGTTATATTTTAATGATAAATCTTACTTGTAACACTCGTAAAATCCCATTAAGATCTTTTTTCATTAAATTTAAATTTAATTTTTATCTATATTTTGATATATTTAAAAAAATTATAAGGTTATTTCTCCCTTCTTTCTGCATGCCTTCTTGATGAAACTGGAAGCACGCTCATTATTCAGGAGGTTCCGGCGAGGACATTGCGGATTTGATTTTCCTCACCAGAAAAGTAAATGAGTTACGAGAGTATATAAGCTGAGGTTTTTGGATTGCAAGACAGAGCGAGTTGGTTTCTAGCAGATTATTTTAGTTTTGCCATCTCTAGTGAGCTTGTAATTATTCGGCATATCATTATTTGACATATAAACTGATACACTGGTTAGAATTTTCTGAGCCAGCTTAGATTTAAATATAACCGTGTAGTCTTTGACTACTAGCCTACGTTTTAATTTTTCAACTGAACTGATATTTTACTCACATCGCCACAAATTGTGGTTTATTTTGTGTTAGTACCAGAAAGTGCATATATGTTCAAAGTTTGTGTTTAAATAAAATGGCATACTCTGTAGTACATTACAAAATCTCGGAGAGATTTACAGTCTTTCCTTGATTTTGTGATTAATTTAAGACACAGTGACAATTCGCTCTAAGTCTATTAAGAGTTGGATCTCAAAAGCAAGTCAAACTCTATAAAACGTTATCATAGTTTTAATTCAGAGCTCTATATAAATAGATTTCATGTTTTGGTGTTATAGAAGCATTTTCGTTGTAGGATACTGTATACTGAAGTCAACAGATATAACATAAATCACGTCGATTTTTATCTATACTTCGATATGGGGTACCATATCGTATCGATATTTTATCATATTTAGAAACGAAGAACATTTTTACGAATATGGATTTCAATATATTTAGGATCAAGACAGTTATATGTTTTGATGTATTAAGCGTAAAATACAATATATTGAAGGCAATTGACGTCTTTTAAGCACATGAGTCATTTTCATGATTACTAAATGTCTAAAATATATAAGATTACCTTGAAGGAAGAATTCTGGCATTTCCCCTGGAATGAAAAAACATGAACATGAAAAACGATGTATATAAACATTTTGTTATGAAAAACAGTGTTACCACTTGAGATGGTACAGATGAAAGAAAATTTTAGACAGCATTTGTCAAACGCCATATTTGAAATAATACTATCCTTTATTAGGTACCCTTAAAATGAAATACTAAAAAATTCATATTTTTATCTCGAATTTTGAAACTCTTTGACAGATGCTTTTGGTAAATAAGATGTAAGATCTGAGATATAAATACAATCTTAGAGTGGCAAAAATTTTAAATAAAATTCCTTAATTATTTCAAAAGAAAATTTTTCATCAGTATCTTTTCATAAACAGGGTAGTTTGCGCGCATAAAGAATAAACTTCGCCGAATAATTAGGCAGAAGAAAATCAAAAGAGTTCTAAAAAATAATGATTTATAACTAAAACAGGACGTGTAGCAGAAGTTCACTAACTCTAAAATAGCGAAATTCCGGTCTTAAATTGGGATTAATTTTAATATAAGTCTTTATCGATTTCAAAAGTTGACAACTAATGCGGATTTCTTTCCGTCACGAGCAGCATTTTTCTTTGGCAAAGAACAAATTTATTTTCTTGGCAAGGAACCAGCAGCAGAATAATATCTCTGATTCCGAGACAAACAGATATCAGACTATTCCTTGAAATACATAAAACGCTTTTATATGACTAAATGCTTATTAAAGCTACTTTCTGCGTAATTTTAAAAATGGCATGCTGTATAGTACATCCAGAAATATGTAAATTGTATTAATGGCATTAATGTTATTTACCTTAATCTGGATATCTGATGCTACATACGGTGAATATTCAACGATGGGGATTAATATTCGACGATCGCGTCTCCCGAAAAATAATTGTTTACCTCCTAAATGAAACACTGATATGGAATATTGGTTAGGATGAAAAATCAAACGCTTGGTGTCGTTAAAATATTTTCCAAACTTTTAACTGTTACAAACGTTGCAAGAGCTAAAGACGCTACGTAAGTCGATAACCCCCTTTAACAAGCAAATGTAGAAAATATTCCTGCTTAAAATTGTATCTTGGTAATAACTAGATCTTTACATGGTGAACTTCCAGAATTCCTATTTTCTTGTTAAACTGCATGCTAAATATTAAATTACAAACAGTAATGAAATGTATCCATAATGATGAAAAGTATTGTCGTATAAATTGGTAACATACGTAAGCTGTTATCATGAATCAGAGTACATGAATGAATACAGTATCTTTACGAGCGATTTTGGCCGAAATTAGAATTTTATATTCAACTCATCACAAAAAAGTAATAAATACCAAAAGTAAAATATATCGAGTGATGAGAAAATCTATTTCATAATATGACATGTAAGTAGCAAAGACAACAGCTCAAACACCTTTTATTATTGCAAAGGCATTTGATTATAATACATCAAAAGCTCAAACATATTTTGAAAAATGGCAAATAATGGAAAGGATAGTAATATATAATTCTGTTTTCCGCCCTCTCGCCATAGTCCTTTAAGGTTTTCATCATATCTCGTTTTCCATTACTGTAACGACCTTCATCATATGTCATTAAATAGGAACGAAAAGATGAAATGTCTTGCAGAGGTAATCAAGGTGTAATCATAAATGCCTCCCAGCGACTTAAAACACTCTCTTCGGGAATCAATAAATTAAGAGGATAGTGTAACAATAGTCACATCTTTGTACCAAAGGTGATTAATTGAGTCCTGCTGGATAACGTCGTAGTAGTAAACTGGATAACTTCGTAGTCATTTCATGACCTAAACTATTTGTTTCTGCGATTCCTGCGCCTAAACAACTTTAAGAATGGGAGCATTATTCTTCATGCCTTAAGCCAAATATAAGGTTAATTGTAAACAAGATAATAAAATATAAACAAGTTAAATACAAGTCTCTCGTTTCGATAGCGAAAATTCGTGATATCGCTGACTAAGAACATAAAGGCATTTCTATTTCTATTTTCTTATTATACAGTCCATGTCACGCAAAACTCTACTTTTGTATGTATTTCTCTTTCTGTATAGGATGCATAACAAATTCTGTTAAATGTAGACAAGAATGACTTTGCAACACGAAGCGTTTCTTATCATTAATCAGAACGATCAAATTTTGCTTCCGAGGGTGGAGAATATGATTACAAACTCACTGTAATAATTTTTTCTTCTTGCATTCAGGTCAAATATTAATGGAACGTGCAATGCAGATTGTCTTTTCTAAAGATCGTTTTCGTGAAGTTATTTCGATACATTCTAATGATATGCTATTTATTCTGTAGTTCTTGTGAGCTCCCCAACCAGTTAACGAGGCTTTATATATTTGTTTGGCTCAAGCGGCGATTGAGGTTCCTGTGGAAAGATAGGATGTTGAAAGGTTGCTATTACTTTCTATACTTTAAAATTGTCTCAGTACTCTTATTGCATTCATTTTGTAAACACAAAAGCACAGTGAAATCTTGGATCAGAAATTTACAATTTTCAAATTTTCCAGTACTTTGTCAATGAACCCTAACCTGAAAAGCTTATCATCTTAACTTTTCATAGCCACAAAAATGTTTATCTGCAGTTTGACCATGGCTATATTATTTTAAACCATTTTACTTCTCATATGCATATGCCATGGCATATCATATATGCCACTTTTCAAAGTTTCATTATAACATTCTAGTTCGCTTCTTACTCTGTGCAGGGTATATAACACATTTACGAATCAAGGAGGAATCTCTTTTATTCGCTGCTAAAGCACCCTGACTCATGTTCCTTTTAATTTCACTCATAATTTATCTTATTTTAAACTTAATAGGATTGTGTTTTAGACACACTATGGCACTTCAGGCACAACTGAGAGTGCTGTCTCTATTGTTTTGGTTCTTTACCGCATACAACCACTAAAACATAGAAATCATCTATATTTGCTGGACAGTAACGATAGATTCATTACATTACATATGCAATGGTATTCACTTTATCCGAATTACTTGGAAGATGAGTCATTTTCTAGGACAACTTATAATCAACGACATTTTGTTAAAAAATGAAACAGTTTCATTTATGTACAGAACATTTTCTAAAATATTCTTATGTTACACCGACGTCATACACTTTATTTTAAACTGTCTATTTTCATTTCATCGCATAAATAAAATAAAATATCTCTCGTTAGAAACATTTCAAAATGTTATTTTTATTACAATTACCACGTCTAGATTTTAAAACCAGTGCACCATGGATAAAGTTATAACAGTGTATGATGAAACGTAGTACTGTAGTTTAACTGCATGAATATTTATATAAGTGTGCAACTTATGAAAGCAGAAAGTTCCACAACAAATTAATAATACTTTTAAATAACATTTATGTTGTTAGAGAGTTCAAACAACATCAATTAGCGTTAATTTGTATAAATTTATAAAAATTAAGACTAATTAAATGTTGTTTGAGCTCTAACAATTGTTATTTGGCTTATAACTTTTACTTAAACATTTAAGTGTTTTTTTTCAGTTCCAAAAGTCCTTTTCGAGAAAGTTGTCAACATTAGTGATGGTCTATTAACCAGAATGGTAAAAGTTTAATACCGATGACAGCTTAAAATATTCATGGAATGGTTTATATACTTCTAAAAATGTTTTTAGTATAAAGCAGGTATTATCTAATATAATTCATAATTAAATAGAGATCTTAAATTCTCCTGTTAGGCAAAACTCTTAGACAGGCTGCTTTTGCGTAATGTTATGAGCCATTCTAAAATGTATTCATCTCTAAAAAATGATAAAATGTAAAAAAGGGATTTAACAACACATCTTCATTTTGAGAAAACAAAACATTAAGAGAATTTAATTTTAGTTGATTTTTGAATACCTCAGCTTGAAGAAGCGGGGCATTTTCTCAAGTATAAATGTACAAATGCTTTCGTTATGTATTTCTATGATACAAACATATATATCTCTTGATCATTTTTTAGCACACAAAAGGTGAGGACTGAAGTTGAGGGCAATAGGAAGAAGCAAATTAAAAGCAAGCGTTCAGATTTTATTTAGTTTGAATATTTCGTTAATAATAAAAATGAAACACTGACATATCGATTGATTTATTTAAATTTCTGCTTTTGGTCATCACTATCATTTTAAACAAATTACATGAAAATAAATAATTTAAGAATAATGGTGCTTCAGAAAGTTAAAACGTAAATATACTACTAATCGTAAATTAGTAAAATTGGAGGCCGAATTAGTGGTTTATTATAAATTTTTCACATAATCTTCGTTTAGATCTGATGGAATCATGTGGCAAAGCACTGAACAGCATGAAACAACAGAAGCTTAATCTTCAAAATTTTTCAATTCCTTTCGAAGTTACACACATGAAAAATAAAACAATAAATAAGCAAATAAAATAAATGGAATCTTAGAATCATTTCCTAGATTCCTAAAACCACACAATTACATTTATTGAACACAGATTTAGTAATATTGTTTTCAAAGAAATCGATTAGTATTTATTATGAAATAGCAAAAGGAGAAGATACAATACATTTAATAACTCTAGAGACTATAGTTTGGTGTAATCGCATTTTGAGAGCGTTTTTAGATGCAAACGCATTTATTCAAAGTGACGAGCTCTTGGCAACACGATTTGTATTAAATATGACCTTGGGAATAGAGTAAAAGTACGTCATTTATATATTTACTTGATGCCATTGTGTCACCTGGAAATTTAAGGGAATAAGTTTTAAGAATCTTAAACGGGAGATAATTTATATGCTTTTCAATAAAATATTTTCTGAGCACAAATGTGTACTTTGTAAAGTTTTAGCTTATTGGAGTAATTAAATTGAATAAGCAGAGAGATTATAATAAATAAAATGATGTACATCTGTAAAGAGATGTTAAATTTTTCAATTCAGGTTTCAGGACATTTCATTTAGAAGCTTAGCACCTTAGAAGAAGCAGGTAATGATTGGTGAATTATTTCCTTTAAACCTAAAATATACTTTTTGTGAAAAAATGAATAGCGAATTGATTTTCGCTTAAAAAGGTAGGAGTCTTTTTACTTAAAATTAGGAATACATTATACTAAAAAATTAATTTATGCCCAAATAACAATTCGCAAATGGTATTTGCGCTTTTGCAGCTGAGGATGATGGTTTGGTAAAACCATCGAAACTAGTCCTGTGAAAATTTGAAAATATAACGCTGATTTTTGTTTGACTTCTTAAATAATTAAAACTTATGCTAGAAACAGGGATTTAATCTAAGTCCAAGCTCGTTCAATCGTCTCTTCGCGATCAAAAACAACGTTTAGATATATTTTTATTTAGTTATAGTATAGGGTATCTTATGTTAATTAACCAGTATTATAAGTTCTGTCTTTACTATAAGTACCTCTTTCCATATTCCTCATCAGTTTACAAATTAGATGTGAGTAAAGGTTTTGGTTCTCAAAGAAAGTGCGTGTGTATTTCTGCCATTGCGTGTGCACTACGTGATTAGTTCCTGCCAGCTCTATTAATTGCAATTATTCGGCTTCGCCGTCTTCTCGCCGCCGATATTTTAATTCTGTCGCGCAGGGAAAATTATTGAGGCATCTTCCAGTTTAGCATTTAAATGTGTATTCTTTGACTACTGTTCAATGTGTAATTTAAATTTGACAGTTCTTTTTATTTGCATCACTCCAATTTGAGGTTGTTGTAGAACCAGAGTATACCCTTATGTTTAAATAAAAAGGTTGTTATAACTTCTTAAGACTTTGTTCTTTATCTCAGATATGGCGATAACTCGCTTAATGTCTATTTGGGACTACAGTAGCATTACAAGATGAAGTATAACTCTTTAATAACTATACGTTTGAGTTCTGTTACATATCGTGTTCATTTAATTTCATAGTTGTAAAATAATTTCAGTTCTTTCTCTCAAACGGTATAGAATTTTCAAAAAATATGCGTTTAGAAGGTAACCATTAAAATATTCTATTCACCTTTTTAATACAGAAAGAATATTTGACACAACTTGAAAAAGCTCACCTTAATTACCTGAAAATCGGTGCTTGCGTCTTTTAAAATGTTATTGCCTAAGTAAATAAAAAATATTGTTTGACCAAAAATTTATATTTTAGCATAGTGTATTTCAAGTTTAAGTAAAAAGATTCCAAACATTTTAAGAAAAAACATGTGGGCTGCACATTTTTCAACACAAGTATTTTTGTTGTTGTTGTCGTTTGTTTGTTTAAAGTTTTAAATGAAATAATGCAACATGCTATTCTCTCCTTGCTTAATCTAAAGTTCCAAATTCATAAATAAAATTTCTTAAAATCTAATTTAAAAATTGCATTTTCTCTTTTCATATATATAGTATTGTTTTACCATTCAGTGAATCTTACACTTTTGAGCAAAAAAATGTTGAGCTATCTAAAATACTGAAAACATAAAATATTTTTTTTGTGTTCGCATAAGAGTTTAAATTTTGTATATTTAGACTAAACAAATTCATATGACCGGGTATCTTGCAAGAAATATATTTTATTTGATGCATTTTTTAGCAAAACCTATGTTTTTACGACAAATTGTTCCAGAAATAATTAGTCACTCATTTTTTGGAAACACTCTGAAAAAGTACAAAATGTCAGTCACTAAATATTTTCCCGAATTAAATTCGCATGCAAATTTTTAAAATTTATGTCTACAACTCGCAGTTCGTTCCCACTAAAAATATTTCTTTTTTTTTTTTAACTTTGTATGATTCAAAACTTTATAATGATTGTATATAAAAAAATCTCCTACTTTGCTTTTATGCTGTTTCAAGGAAGAAAATTTGCATTTGAAAATTTCTGTTTACTATCCCGTCACTTATCAATGAAATAATGGATAAATATAAAACTGTAAGATATAAATAAATATAAATTATTGACGAATTTTAAATCTTTGAACTTACCAGGATAATGATACACGTGAAAATCTGATCTTGGTGGTCGAGGTGTCCGTTTTACTGTAGCATAAAGTGGTTCTTCCATGGCAGCCTGTTGAAAAACATTTTAATTTCTAAACAGTTCATTTAAGTTCATTTTAAACATTTTAAGTTCATATTATTCGCAGTTTTTAATATTACATTATCTACTGGATAATTAAGGATGGCGATGGCAAAGAAGTCGAGGGTTATACATATGAAGCGTATTACTTTTGTGGATTTAACTCTGGCAAGGATATCACTTATATTTATGGTATACAGAAGAAAAGCCTGAAATTAATAATGCATTTGAAGGGTATTTAATTATATAACTAGGTAAAAATAATAATATAACAGCATATCATATAAAATTAGATTCCTTCTATTTTTATAATTAAACAGCAATCTTAAAAAAGGCTTTTATGTTCTTAAATACTGCGCACAGGCACTAGAAATACACATTTTATACGGTGACATAGAGATGCCATTTAATAAACGAGATATGATAAGGTGCCAATGTCCGGTTCAAAGAAGCCTTAATTATTGGTTAGTCACTTGAGCAACGGTTGCTGAATATGAGCCCGTTTTCGTGCAGTGGTGGTATAATCGATTTTAAGCCCAAGGTCTTTACCAGATAATAACATAAAAGTTATCCGAAATCAGAGGTTATCCGAAAGAGCAGAGGCCTACACTGAGTCATCTGTGTATATCAACATTTTGGACTGTTTTGTCAGATTCTAGAGCATAAACAGAATTTGAAGAAGATGATATCTTAAGCGGACAGTCGCGCCCGCAAGAGGCACAGCGGTGAAGATGCTGAAAACTCAAAGACCAGGGTTGAAATCCCAGCGAGTGGAACATTACCATTATCTTCTTTACCAGTCTGGCATCAACCTAAAGGCTTTTACACAGATACTGCCTTAAATGATAAACACAGAGTGCCACCTAATAGGCGAAAGATCTTGTAAAAAATCATTGAGAGGTTTTATAGTAGTAATTAAAAAACAACAAACACAAAATCTTGGGTTTGTTAACTATAAAATATACTTGGTTAACTATAAAGTATTTGCAAGGTGTTTACTAAAATCAACTGACCGGCTCTATGGGAGTTTTTGTGGTTTTTACAAGTGTAATGTCTTTATGAATCAGTCCTTTAAGTCAGCATGCCTTCCCTCAAATAGATGACGTGCTTTGCTTAGTGTAAATAATCCTTTATACATAGATAGCGCAGTCGCTAATCTATGCAATGATTACTTAACTTTAAAGCAAAGAGTTTTCAACTAGCAATAGTCCCGCCTCGGTAGAACCTCACTTTGAATTTATCTTAGACGCATGCAAATTGGTTTAAAGACAACTGGAAATCTATTATCTTGACAGATGGGCCTACATAGAGCCTTCGGAATAATTCCAAGCACTACTTGGTATAAAACTATCTCACTAGCATCAGTCACTGTGACCGTTACGGCAATGTTAATTGTTTAGTTTTGCATTTATTTGAATTGATGTAATTTGCTTTCCACAAATAGTAAGCTCAATGAAAAAATGCAGATATTATCAAATTTTGGACTTACATGCAAGAACTAGGATACGAATCCTTCTATTGCAAATCGGAAATTTTTAGACACAGATAGTTCAGCGATTATGTTAGAACATTCAAGATGAGAAGACTGTCTTCGTCAACTGACGATTCAAGGCTCCTGAATACGTTTTTATTGAACATGTCAGAGCTGCTATAATTAATACACTCTGTTGATCTTAAAAGGGTCAGCTTTCAGTTTCTAGAGAACAAATAGTCATAATAGCCTACTCAGCCAACTGAACAGCGTTACTAACAACGATGAACCATTAGTATCAGGAATGTTTTTCTACAAAATGTCACCGCACAATGCTTTGTTAACTGCGTTCTGAAATCATATTCTAGCACAAGTTTAATGTTTTTGGATTATTTGATAAAAAAACATTTCTGGAGCAAAATATTTTTAATCTATCTATGTTTAAGAATGCAATTCATATTTTAATTAGTTTTCATCAAAATCATTTACACAGCATGATTCAAGCATAGATTCTTCAAAGCAATGCATCGCTCAATCCCTAATTGTATGTAAATGGAATATCGCTATATAAATGGAAAGCCGAGATGACTTTTCTCTTTATATATACATGGCCATACATTCGCTTATGCACATATATGCTCAAACACTTTTTAAGAGACATAAAAGCATAGATTTCTTCAAAGTTACTGAAAAAAAATGAATGTATTTATTTGATATGATGCATAACATCATAACACATCATTTCAAACTGAAAAAGTGAAAGTGAGTGCTTAAGGCACATTGTTATGAAACAAAGAAAAATTTACACAATATGTGTCTGTAAAAATTTTCAAAAGTACAGAGTTTCGGAAACAAATGCAGTATTTTGATCATAAGAGGAATTGGCATCTCCTCTAACTGGTACACAGATTTTCACAGTTATGAGCATAGGTAAAACTATAATGGATACAGCAATGTACCATGGGCTAACTGGTAATTCCTTCTTAAACTAAATAACCCTAAAAAATTTCAAGCTTTATAAGAATTTACAAAGGAAGGTTGAGGAGGTGAGCAACTGAAGCTTTCCAAAGAATCTAGATTTTACATGTTATGCCACATCGTGCAATCCCACCTAGAACATAAAGAGATTACAGTATAATTCCAATAAAAATTTTCAAGTGACATTTCAGGCTCTTAACAGCTTTTCACAAATAACAGAGCAGCCATCTGTTGGGTTTAATAAGAATTTTAACCTGTAAAACTCCATTATGAGAATTATGCTTACAACTGTGTCCACATGAAATGTCCCCTGATTGAGCATATCAGTGATCTCTAGTATGGTCCGTAAGGTATTAACTTCTTTTGAGAAAGTACTCCGCTATGTATCAGCTCTTCTATGGAAGTTCCATAGTTTTTATAGATTTATATATCAGGATATTTGGCGGGCCAGTATATTTTCTCATATGTTTCGATTCTGATATATGCTCCTGATATATCCTTTATATCTGCTCAAAATACACGCGTGGTAGTATTCAGCACAAAAAGCAAAAATCTTAAGAAAATAGAGAATTATAAGACTTCATCCCAGCATCTCAGCACGTACATAAATCCTATCGAATACAAACAGCAATATTTCTATTCACTATAAGCAGCAATATTTCTATTCACTATAAACAGCAATATTGTACAAGCAATGCTTCTGTTGATCATGTTTTCATCCTGCAGTATCATAATTGCACTTTGTGCTCTCCTTTAGTATGAGGTCAGAAAAGTACTAACAATCGCTATTTTAATATAAATGGCTTTCCAATCAATTGATATGAATGCAGTTTTCCCAAACACGGAAGTTCCAATGACAGTTATAAGCCCTACATTGAAAAGCTTAGCAGCCAAGTTTTTACTGAGCAGGTTAGTTACGAGGCGATATTTATCTGGAAATTTGTATTATTATCTTGAAGCAGTTATACTTTTCTTTCAGGCCTTGTCCCGGATTTATACATTCCTTTACAGCTTAAGAGTTTTTCAATTATTTCCAGACGGCACATTTATTCGTAGTCCTTTACAGCTTAAGAGTTTTTCAATTATTTTTAGACGGCACAGGCAAATTGTCTTAAAACATATAGTCTTTAAGCCATCTTGCCGTTTTCACTGTTATTTACCACGCTTATAAATCCCAAGCAGTTTCAGATGGCAAAAGATTCTTCCGAGTAATACTGCAATGCTATAAAAGAGTTGTTTTCTGTCAATAAACACTAAGGTCAAACTCTGAGTTGCAGATGTCAGTGGGGCCATGTGCACTGAACAAAGCGGCGTTAGCTACACCTTTGTATGATACCATTCTGTTATGTACATTTCAGAAAATAGTTAATCAAACTGGATTAAATACAAATATTGCAATTTGCCTCTTGCTTATACCACGAAGATCATCAAGGTAAATCAAGTTGATTGCTATTTTTTTTAAATATATGTTTTTTTCTGTAAAGTGTATATGTTTAATCATCCTACGCATCAAACGCTTTTTCGTCCATGCAAAGAATACTAATGTTTTAATTTAACATCATAAGACCTATGTGAATTACTTCAGTGAAAGAATTCAATAATTCACTGGTTTTAAAATCTATAAAACAAAATCAGAGACTCGATTAGTGGGCTGTGCATGAAATGTCGGATATGAAATTGAAAGAATAATCCAAAAATTGGTCTTATACCATTAGACGAAGAGGCATCTTTCAATAGAATAGTCACTGGTGACGACGAAAATGAAAACTTAAAATATGAGACGTAAACTCCATGTATTTATAAAGAACAGACAGCATACTCAGCACTAAAAGGAAAGTCTTTTTCAAAAGAAAGTAATGTTGTGCCTTTAGAGAAATACGAAAGAAATTTCATGCTGTAGGCTTTCAAGTAGTAATTATATACTATCTGAAAATTAAATTAACTAAAACGCTGAACAGTGAAAAAATGAAATGACTAAAGGAAACTTTTGATGTAAAAAACGATGATACAAAGACTGTGTTTTTTTCTCACTTAAAGGCTTGGCCTCAAATGGTAAAAACAAACCGTCAAAAGTAAAAATAACATTGTACGGGAAGTTATAATTCATCCACAATAATGCTCTGATTTGGCATTTGACTGTCTTCTTTTTCAAAGTTTCAAAACTACTTTTATTGTAAAATGTTTGAATTCGGAATATAACTGAATTTCATTATTTGGGATAAATCGCAAAGAAAGGAACTGTAAATTTAAGAGTAGAAATCATTGAAATTCGATGAGAAAATTTAAACTTAAAATTAAGGTGGAAACAATATATAAGTAACAGCGGGAAATTTACCTTTGATTAAAATCTATTTTGTGCCATACGTTTATTTTCTTACGGCTTCTCCTAAAACCCACAGTGCATTTGAGATGAGTTAATAGCTTGATAACCAAGGAAATTTTTATAGAATTAATATTAAATAAACTTAAAACTACAGAGCACGTAACGCAGTAATATTTCAAGGGCCTAGCAGAGACTAAGTGGATAAGCTGAACACTGGTA